TTTGTTAATCAGATGAAGTGTTGCTAATTTCATAACTATTTGTATTAGTCTCTGTAGTCACAGATCTCATCTATTCGACAATCTTACGTCGAATGCATAGCAGACGAGTGGGTTGCAATACGATACCTATCCCCCAAGTTGTATTTCGCATACGAAAGCGAAAGACTATAAATATAATTAAACACAAATATAAAGTTGTGACTGATTAATTAAACATGTGAAGATCAATGTTAATAGAAGATAGAGTAAAGAATAAACAGATATTTTTTGAATATTAATAGAATAAATCCATTTCCTCCTTACTTTTCTGTTAAAAAACGCAATTTATCTTGCAAATAAATTCTGTTCTGAAGATATTCCGTGATTTTTAATACGCTCGTCGTTACGTTCAAATTAATTTTTTATTATTCAATTATTTGAATTTGTTTGCTTGTGTTCGCAGAAGAAGAGAATATCTTCAGTAATGCAAAAAGTATAACAAATCAGTAATATTTTTAGTAAACAAAAGAACTTTACGCATTGGTTTATTCAATGTGGCAAATCTACGAAAATATCTTTAAAATTTCAGAAAATCGTTTAATACATGTTATTCTCTAAACCTTTTTTTATATCATACAAAGTACAAAAGTATACAATCAACTACATTCCGAAAACAATTTTATACTCCAATTAATCGTTTTCGACTGTTCTGGAAGTTCATCACTGCAGATCCATTTCAAACAAATGTTGGTAATTAAGTGTCCTATTGTAAGATTGTGGATGTTTATGTACATAGATAAAGTGTAATCGAGAAATAATTATATAGTATAATTGAACAGGCAACATATACGCAAACTGTGAGAAATACATAAAAAACATATTTACAAAATATTAATTATTAGTTATTTGTAGTGAAATTGCGTTTTATTTCGACCATAGTCGAGCGAGTTGTAGAACCGAGTCGTGAGAGTCGTGAGAGAAAGAGAACTGTTAAAAGTGTCGTTAAAAGAGTTGTTAAAAGAGTTTTTTTGTGTTAATTCGTGTTGATTGAATGTTATTTATCTTGTGTAATTACTGTATTAATTATTTGTCGTTCTATTATCATTACTCCTATTAAAAAAACATTATTATTTATATTATATCCCTACAATGGGACGAATATAATAACCTTCCAACCTACCAATGTACTTTCAGAATTGAAAGTAGTTATGCATCACTAACAATTTATTAAAGAAAACACTTCCACGCGTGTTACTGTATATTCAGTTGAATTAGTATACGAAATCTGAATAGTATTTGTCTAGTATTATACTTACAATTAGTGGTTTAAAATCTAAAGAAGATAAAGTTATTTCACAATAGAAATTCGAAACTGTAGTCAAAAGTAAACAGTGTCGTTGAATACGAGTCCTAAACCAATTCTGAACGAGTGTCAACTTTTGACTTTCCAAAATTTTCGGAAATCCCGATACTTTTATCCCCGAAATAGTTTCAGGACTTGTTCAGATCACGGAAGAAATTCGTGTCTCCTGGCAGTCACAGCTCTCTTAGCCACCAATAATTTTGTTTCATTCTGATTATTTTATTTCAGTCTGATTATTGAGTGGTCGTTTGTAGACATTTGAAGAACGAGAAAACAATTGGTTAATACGATACAATTGTTTTTTCTTGTATATGTACATGTTTCACACCTTAAAGTTCATTTAAATAAATATCTAATGAATAAAGGTTGTTAATGGATATTGAAAAGATATTGTGTAAAACATACCGCGCCCAGTGTAATGTAACTGGTAAAATTGTAAACAGAAATCTAAATTCGATTGTTCATGAAATAGTATTCATATTTATTTGCGGGAAATAAAATTTAACAGAAAAATTAACTTCAATAGGAAAACATTCTATAATACAACAGCAGATGCTTGATTTATAAACTGACATCAATGATTAACTAAGACGTTTCAAGTGAGTTGTATGAACTGTTCATGAGCAAAACTAGATCGTCAACGACAATTGATAACACAGCGTATAAAAGAATGGAAAGCTATAAATAGAATAATTACACAAATTATTGGAAATTTAACAGCATCTTGCTAGGAACTTTGTTAACTCTTGATTCATGGTATCTGTGAGATTTTTATTCCACGTGACGAATAGTATATGATGCTGCAGCAAAATAATTTGTTCTCCAAATTCATGATCAAAGTCATTTTTTTAAAGAGAAATCTCCACTGATTCAAAGATGTGGGATTACGTCATGACAGTAATGACACTTTTTTTTTTATACACTTTAAACTTGCACATAGTAATGTAGATGTATATGTCCTTATACTTTTACTTGCACATCCAATACAGACTCAACGATAATAATGACTATCACAGCATATATACTTGTGTAACATATTTCATTGCATGTTTATAATTCCGTAATTTTTGATCGATTTTTTATTTTTCTTGTGATCGTAATTGATCAAGGCTTATACAACGTTTCATTTGGAATACATAAAATAACGTATGAAGTCATCATCGGTAAAACTTGAAACACGAACACAATGAAAACTGAAAACTTGGAATCATGTGGAAACATGGAATACGTTCAATCGTTCCATACCTAGAAGAATATGATTGTTGTGAAAAAACTAAACGTCTGTTATCGTCTTATTCGTGCAGTAAAAGTAAAAATGAGCATATTGAAATACAGATTGTGATTGAATAATTAACCAACGCCCGTTCTGTGCAGATCAAAATCAATCAGAGAACACGAAAGAGTCGATAAATCGATTTCAAGATCAAATAATTTTATATCATCTCATGCAATTTACGTATACCTGCTTGTTACAGTCAAATAACATATGGAGTCCAAGTTATTCTTTCTCCGCAACATCGTTTAGAATTAGTAACTGACCACTAGTCAGTTGTGAAATTTATCTTTCACCACTTATTTACATCTTCGGACTTAGCAGTACATGATTGTTCCCAATACAACTTCACACCGTTGAACGCAATTACATTCGGTGTTCGCAACTTTAATTGTCAAACGAAATTTATTTGTATATTAAAATCAAATATGAAATAAATCAGACAAGTTCAAGGGCATATTGTTTCTAAGTACAAAGATCGAATAACCTATCTACCAATGACGTTATCATACCATACCACTATATATATAAATACGATACCACTATATATATAAATACGATACCACTATATATATAAATATATGGAATACGAGGTATTCTTAAATTTGCCTAAATGAATCCTATGATTCAGCAATTCTTTATCTGTTTCGTCTCAGTAAAATGATATTTATATCTGTACCTGTAACATATGTATATATGCTGATTACTATCTTGGTAATGTTAACTACCAAATGGTGGTGATAATGATACTGTAGTATAGTAGATATTGGTAATGGTAATCTTAATGTCAATATAAATGTTTAAAAGAGCAGCATAGAGAATATGAACAGTAGTCGAGGAAACGCGTTAGAAGAACTTATCGTGAGAGCATGTCTTTTTTCTTGGTTTTTTGAATATAGTAGAAATAGCAGGTAAGCAAAAATCATAGATTCTTTGATATCGTATTTCTAAGAAATCATGTTCCTAAGAAATGTCACATAGGTACGAAAATTCTTCCTTCCTAAGATACAGATACTTTTTGTTTACATGAAGAATTTAGTATATAAAATAATTGTCAAATGCAGAATTTTAAGCAGAACTGAGATTTTTGTATTTTCTTTTTTTTTTTTTTTTCCTTACTAGCAGTAGAATGCTGTGTCAAAGTATGGTCACTTTTCTCTTTGATAATATAGAATGAACAACGTTGTATGAAACAATATGGAAAAGCTTTGTTAGCACATTCGACTCAACTTCTATGTTCACAATGATGTCAATACTATGAAATTTGTGAATACGAAACGACAAATGCGAAAGTGCGCTCCTTTTCTTGTGATAACAAACGTTGTTGCTGTAGTGTACAAATACGCCTGTTCCTAACTTTCCCTAAATTTAGACATAAATAAGCAGGGCTAAGTAATTGTTATTTAATTACGAGGTGTGTAGAGAGGAGCTGAATTTAAGCATCTTCAACTTTAATCATTAGGCTGCGAATTTTTAAGTAAATTCATATCTTTGCAACGATAATTAAAAATAATAAAATCTAGCCAGAAGTTTAGACTATAATCTTCTGTCATTAAATGTTACAACTAGTACTTGAATACTTTGTATATATTTTCGTGTATTTTGTGCAATTTTCAAATGTATCATAAATGCATAAATATTTACAGTTTATTAATACAGATGAATAGATTGAATTACGTAATGATTGATGTATATGAGATTGATTGTTAACAATTGTCTCGTGTAAATTTTAAGAATTGTATGTTGCTTGTATTTCGTATTTTTTGTATGAAATATAGACCTCCGTCTCATTTGACACGATATTTTTGTTATATGACTCACAGATACACCGATTTTTTTCACAGTTACTCCTTTATCCATTTTTCTATAAATGCACGGTAAGGTGATATAGTTAAAAAGTAAAATATATTAAAACAGGGTTGGAAATATGTACCAGGTAACGCAATTCGAACAGAATAATAATATAAAAGTTCTTCGATTAATGATAATTGTATTATTCCAGTAACAAAACGATTTCGTTATGTAATGGAAAGCAACGCTAGATAAAATGTTGATTTCTTACAAAAGTATGAATTTTTCTTTTTTCATTTCTACATATACGAACATTTCTTTGCACGATTTCTTTTTACACAGAAAGCATAGGTTATAAAACAGGCATTTATCGTACGATACAAAATATAGGAAAATATTATTAAATAACAATGTTAGTAAAAAATTATTTGTCTTATCTCTTTCTATTAATATCAACAAATTTTTCTCGAATGGAGAGAAATGAACTACGTTAACAATTTTAGAAATAAATTATTGTGAACATGAAATTTCATTTAATGAGAAAGTAAATTCTCTTTTTTTGAATGGCAAGATACAGCGGAATTCAATAAGGACATGTAGCGGCCTATGATCCGTCAAATACGAGAGTCGAACAACGACTAGCATAAGCCGCAAGTGGCTGTGCGCCTAACGTCGCCTAAAGTCCCAACGATCTTTGATGTTTTAAGCAGAGTGCGGTAAACCTGCTAGGATGGGTTGGCGGTCCAGCCTAGTGAGTAGTTACAACAATATGTGTCTGGGGTAAGGGGTAAGAGGTCGCTGCCATCAGCCTCACTGTGAGTCTGGCAGCGATCCTGAGACAAAACGCACTATTTTCACCTTTCTCACTTACCCAAATCCTTCCGTTCCTAGATTCATTCATCATTTCACTATCATCACCAAACTCTTCAGGACATAACCTTGAATCGAACATTTCAATTGTGACATGCCCTCATTTATTTATGAACAACCTAACAAAAAAATTATTGTTGTAATATGATTGTCTCTTTTGAATAATTTTTGTTTTCAACAAAACATATCTTTATTTTGGACAAAGTTTCAAAGTGCACGAAGTTACGTTGTTCACATTATACAAAAATCTAAAGTAATCTAGTTTATATTACACATTTTTTATTCAATTACAATTATTGCGATTAAAGATCCTATAACTTGGATATAATGAATATAAGAATTAACGAAAATAATTTTAATAAAATGTTGAATAAGGCGAATTCCATTGAGGGAATGGAATACGCCAACACGGGAATCTTGGTGACCGGAACAAGGGGTTTTGTAGGAAAATGCGTCTTGAAGAAATTATTGCGTGTGTGTACAAGCATTGCAATCATTTTTGTTCTATTCCGTCCGAAGGAAAACCAAACGATAGAAGAACGATTCATGATCCAATTCGTAAATAATATTGTCACTGCTTTTTGTACTTTAATCTTTCAGAAAACAAATTGAACAACTTCATTTTTCATTAATGTCATAATTTCATTTCCAAGTCCATTTAAATCTCAAAAAACAATCGTATTTTCATGGGTTCATTTAGTGTGTAATAATGATTTTGGTACGATCGTCGAATAATATACACAGACATTAAATGGATATTTATAACCAACCATCAACAATCCATAGTTGAATAATATAATTTTGATTGAGCTTTAAAACTTTAAACTTTATATTTATCTTAAACTAAGAACATGTTATGTACGATAACTTTATTATAAACATATATTAGGCCATGATATTTTACATTTAATTTGATTTTGGTTGGAGAATAGCACTATACATCCGTGTAACAAAGATATTAATAATTATATACATTAACTATACATTAACTTCAAAAGTGATAATGCAACATCAATTTTTTCCACTTTTCAACTTAGAGAGTTAACCGATGTATAATAGTTCCTGAGGAGATCACTGTTTAATTTCGTTGTTGCTCAACATATAGAAAAATATTATACAAAGTGGTAATAGTATTTAAAGTTAAAATTTAGTATCACACTTATTTCGTGATAGAAAAATTATATTTTTATTTCATACTAAAAATTTTGAAATATTATTTATTTTAACTGAAGCTAAAATATATTTTACTTTAAACCAGAATAGAAAAATAATATTTCAAAGGTGAGAGTTAAAAAAAATTAGCTTGAAACATTCTTCTATGATAAATGAAGTAAAAATAAATAGAATGACAAAATAAATTAATTAACATAAATAGAAGGAACTGAATTGAATAAGATTTCTCTAGTTTATATTATATTTGATGTGATACGTGAATATGAAACATGCGAATTTTATATGTGCACATATATGTATTTGTAACAAGCTTTTGAAAATATATCTTAATCTCTCCTTTTATATTTAGATTTGTGACAGCGTCAGAGTAAAGCATCCCTCAGTTTTGAATAGGATTCATCCCGTAAAGGGACAGATGAGCATGCCAGATTTAAGACTTTCCCCAGAAGAGAGAATTATGTTGATAGAAAATGTGAACATAGTGATTCATATCGCGGCCACTGTGAAAATCAACGAATCATTAAACCTGGCTGTTAACATAGTATAATAAATACAGCAGGTATTACACGCATAATCCAATTGTGCAAGGAACTAAAGCATGTAATCAGCATTATCCACGTTAGCACAGCTTATGTAATGCACATTTGCCAGAGATCGAGGAAGAAGTTTGCACGTAAGAATATATTACAAATTATTCTTCAAATCTTTCGTTTATGCATAAAAGTCTGTAACATAAAATTAGTAATGATTGCAGCGCGACTGATACGTTCACTTGTTACTAACGATTATTGCAGTTCAAGTTCAAAACTTTTTGTAATGATTGATATATGTGAAAAGGGAGATAAAACATAGATCGATCTATTTGTAGAAAAAATTTTAAAAATTTATGCAAACACGTACACATTTTACAAAATGGCAAAGCAAATTGTGTCCAGCATTAGTACATAGTTTGCCTATTGGTATAGTGCGGCCAAGCAGAATTAGTGTCTCGATAGAAAATCCGTGCCCTAGATGGCTGGACAATACTTATGGAGTTACAGGTATTTTACTAGATAACTATATATTAATATATTAATTCGAACAAGAATAATTAATTGTTTCTTATAATATAATATCCCAAATTTATTTAATATGTTTAAACTGATGATTTCTTTCAAGAGATTGATTAACTCATTTAATATATTTTGATATGTTTTAGAATTCACCACATTTTATTTATTCAACAATATCCAAATGATTGGTTGTTTGGTAATTTCGTAACCAATGGTCGTTCGGTATAAAATATGAATGTTAGGACGAGAGAATTTCAAATATAAAATTTTAACTATCGGCGTTTGCTGGTTTCCAAAGCCTTTTCGTTATTAGTCCTTGTCGTTAATTTTTTGCTAAAAAATGGCATGATTGCGAGATTGGATTGTTCAGTTAAAAGACTGAAATAACCGTTTAATAAGCCATAAATACGAGATGTCGATTCCTGGATATTTATGATGCTTGTTCGAGTTTAATTTGTACATCATGGAGAGAATCGTCGGCAAGTACACGGACAGTATACATTGTGAAATAGGCATTTATCATACGATGTAAAATATAGCAAAATATTATTAAATAACAATGCTAGTAAAAAATTATTTATCTTATCTCTTTCTATTAATATCAACAAATTTTTCTCCAATGGAAGGAATTGAACTATATCAACATTTTTGGAATAAATTATTGTGAATTTCAAATTTCATTTAATAAGAAAGTAGGTTCATTTCCTTTATTTGGCGAGATACAACAGAATTCAATAAGGGCATAAGCTTGATTCGAACATTTCAATATTTCAGTAATTCAATAACTACTTTGAGCATCCATTGTGACATGCGTTCATCTATTTATGAATAATCTTATACAAAAATTGTTGCTGTAATATTATAGCCTCTTTTAAATAATTTTTGCTTTCAACAAAACATAACTTTATTTTGGACAAAGTTTCAAAGTGGACAAAGTTACGTCGTTTATATTATAATCTACAGTAAACAAGCTTGTATTACACATTCTTTATTCATTTACAGTTACTGCGATTAAGGATCCTACACAATGGATATAATGAAAGTAAAAATTAACGAAAATAATGTTAATAAAGTATTGAATAACACGAATTTCATTGAGGGGTTTTATGCCAATACTGAGATCTTGGTGACCAACGAGTTTTGCAGGAAAAGACGTCCTGAAGAAATTGTTACGTGTATGTCCACGCATCGCAACCATTTTTGTCCTACTTCATCCGTAGAAAAACCAAATAATAGAAGAACCATTAGAATGCTTATAGATGATCCAGTTCGTAAATAATATTGTCCCTGTTTTTTTTATTTGAATCTTTTAGAAAACAAATTGTACAACTTCGTTTTCCTTTAATTTCATGATTTTATTCCAAAATCCATTTAAATCTAAAAAAAAACAGTCTTTTATGGGCTCATGTAGTGTATAATTATTTTGGTACGATATATAATAATAATAATCATCGACTATCATAGTTGAATTAATAGTATAATATTGATTTGAGCTATAAAACTTTAAACTTTATATTTTTCTCAAATTACGAACATGTTATGTACATTAACTCTATTATAAACATGTATCAGACCAAGGTATTTTACATTTCATTTGATTTTGGTTACAGGATAGCACTATGCAGCCGTACACCAAAGACATTAATAACTACACATTAATTTCAAAGGTGATAGTGCAACATCAGTTTTTAACACTTTTCAACTTATGGAGATAATTAATGTACTTTTTGAGAGACTCATTGTTTTATTTCGTTATTAGTATAGAGTATATAGGATGATATTGTATAAATTAGTAGTAGTACCTAAAGTTACAATTTAATACCATGCTAACCAATCTTGCAATTTTAAAGTTATATTTTTATTTCTTATTAGAGATTTTAAAATATTATTTACTTTAACAGAAATAGAAATATAATTTATTTTAAACCAGAATAGAAAAATAATATTTCAGAGGTGAGAGTAAAATTAGCTTTAAACTTCATCCTTGAAAAATGAAGTAGAAATAAATAGAATGGCAAAATAAATTAATTAAGATAAATAGAAGGAACTGAATTGAATAAGATTTTTCTAATTTGTATTACATTTGACATAATACGTGAATATGAAAAATGCGAACACTATATACATACATGTGCAATATTATAACAGTACCTTTTCAAAATATGTAAATCTTATTCTTTCCTTTCATCTTCAGATTTATGACAGCATCGGAGTATCTTTCGGTTTTGAGCAAAGTTCATCCCGTGAATGACGTGAGCCTGCCAGACTTACATCCTTCTTCAGGAGAAATTAGTTGATGGAGAATGTGAACCTAGTGTTTCATATCGCGGCCACTGTGAAATTGAACGAACCGTTGAACGTGGCTACTAATATAAATACAACAAGTATTGCACTCATAATCCAATTGTGCAAGGAACTGCACTATTTATGGGATCATCTATGAGCCTCTGAAATCGTTGTTCTATCATTTGGTTTTTCTTCGAATAAGGATAAAGATGGCGACGATGCTTGAACACACACGCCTCAGTTTCTCCAAATTCTTTTGCCTATGAAACCCGTCTCACCAAGATTTCAGTATTGGCGTAGAATTTTTCTATGGAATTCGCCTTATTCAGTTTTTCACTGACATTGCTTTCCTCAATTTTTATGTTCATTGTATTTATGTTGTAAGATCTTCAGCCGCAGTAACTTTAATCTTGTAAATAAAATCTTGAATCGGAATATTGGAAAGTGAAGAATACGAGTCTTTTACTTTTTATTTTTGTGGTAAACGACATAATTTTGATGGTGTTGAATATCATTGTTGTTGAAACATTATAGACAAAATTTTTTTGTACAGAATAGACTATGAAATAATAGACAGCAATAATTTTTCTGCAATATCATTGGAATATAAATACAGAATCGAATAACATAACTTAGTAGTGCATTCCTGCAACATTGAAACATTCGATTTCAACTTTGGGCGCTTATACTTTTATTGAATTGTGTTGAAGGTCCCCAAACAAAAGAAACAAATCTCCTTATTCATTAAATGAGAAATTCATTTCTATGATAACTTGTTCATAAAATTACTCAATGTTCTCTATTAGAAAGATCTTTTGGAATACTAATGGAAATATTGAGTAACTTCTTACTAACATTGTTATTATTTGAATTTTTTATTATTGTACGTATGCCAAATACCTACATTTTACAATAGAAGCTCTTTTTGCAAAAGAATTCGTACAAAAATGTTCATGTTCATGGAAGTAAAAGAAATTAATATTCTTTAGAGAAATGAACGATAAGCTAATAATTTCTGTCCTTTATACAAAGAATTCTTCTTGGTTCGGAACAACATTACTGTGCCACTACTTGATTCGTTCAAGGCATCTCCGATGTCACTATTTTGTGCAAATTGATATTATATAATTTCGAATTCACGGATTTATCTGATTATTCTCTATAAAATAATACCGACTTATATGTCGAAAATACATCGATTTTCTTTTTAATTTTGTGGATCATATCAAGAAGAAGCAAAAATATATGCATACTGCTATGTTAATGTTTTCTCTGTCCTACGCGATAAGCTTATATAAGTGTCGGCATGAGAATGTTGAACGTTCTTGCGCTCTGAATCATGACATAATTTACATTTCCGTTGGACATTTTATATCAGAGCTCAGTGGCATTGCGTAGGTCAAGGCGGTCGCTTGTCTGTCATATTTCTTGTCCTCTAGAAACGGCTGGTATCGACCGTTTTATCGATGATTTATTTAATTATTTTTATTTTATCATGAACTGCAGTAGAGCAATTAAACGTGTCATCCTTTGAATCTGACTGATTCGAGCGAACTAGTTTGTTATAATATAACAGGCTCGCGGGCGGCTGCAGCAGAAACGCTGCAATTTTTCTCGAACAAACATTATAATATCTTCAATGAATCGGAATCTTTACAATTTTCGCGACGAAAAAAAACGTTACAATTTTCAACGAAGAAAAATTTTCTATAATTTCAACGAGTAATTAACACGTAGAAAATTTACGTAGTTTTTCGCGAAGTAATGTAGTCTCGTTTACAAGTAAAATTCATCATTATCGGTTAGATAAGACAGCTTCGCTGTTCATTATTGCGCAGATAAACACATTTTTGAATACTCAGATGCCACACTCGATGGCTTGTACATCCACGAGTAAGACGCAACGAAAAGAATACGAAATAACTTGTAGTTAGTTAAACGCGAATCACCCACGAGATAATGATCAAAAAATTTATTTTGTGTTGCGTGTTGTTAATAGTCATCATACAAATTTAAGGCAAAGTGAAACAAATGAAGTTTTAATCTCTGTAAGTAAATTTTATTGGTAATTATGTTCACTTTTTCGCTATCCCTAGTCAGATTTTATTTTTAATTTTTGAAACGATAGTTATAAAAAACATTATTTACATAGAAATTATTGAAACTATTATTATAGAAATCTTTTATGACATAATAGTTATTTTAAAATTTTAATTAATTTAATTAATTTTATATATTTCTATGTATTTATTTTTATTCTTGGACTAACTGAAGCCACGCATACGTATACATATGTCACGTGACATGGAAGTATTCATATAATTCGTAGTTGAAGTTAATACGAAATGAATGCGAGATGAATGCATACTGAAATGAATGGAAGCATTTTTTTAGTAAGAGCGGGATACATAGCCGAAACTTACAAAGTTGTCACACAAGATGTACATCTTGCAACTGGATAGAACCGCAGGATAAAAGAAATGGCCTGTGTCTGTGAATAAAACGCCTGTATTACTTCTTCATGGACTTCCAGAATGCTCTGTTACGTGGCGGGAGGTCCGGAAGTTGATTTAGATATTGCCAAAATAAACGACGTGTCCATTTTCTTTCTTGAAAGATGTTGGACAAAAGAATGTTTAAAATTGGTATTCGTCTCTGCATAATATTAATTATTAACATTAATTATTAATTTGGTGCTTTCTTATCAATTTTTTATTCTGGAATATATGTTATATCCCTTCATTGCTCTTGTTAAATATAATCTCATTTTGTTAAATTCCTCCGCTACTTTTCTTTTTAAATTGACACTGCTGATTTCGATAAAAAAAAAGCCGCAGAATAATTGATCAATTATTTCTCTCAAATTTTAGGCTATATATTAGCAGACCAGGGATACGACGTATGGCTGGGCAATGTACGCGGCAACAGATACTAGCGGAAGCATTTGAACCTGACCACTTCAGACCCAGAATTTTGGATGTACGGTCGGAATAGTTCTTTATCAAGATTTATCCCCAAATTTATTTTGACAGTAACTAATCCGTTTGTACAGTTGGCATGAAATCGGAATATACAATCTCCCTACGATGATCGATCGCATTATCGAGCAAACAGGGCAGAAGAAGATCTTTATTGTAACACAGCCAGAGCGGTAGCGTATTTTTTGTGATGACTAGCGAACGGCCAAAGTATCAAGAGAAAGTTATTGCTCTTTCTGCTTTAGTCCCAGCAGTCTTCGCATGTAGAACAGAAAATATCACTCTAATGCATATGTTTGTGATAGTGGTTACCATAGATAGTTATATATTGTGGAGTGAATATACATAATGTTTGTATGGAGGGATGAGTGTGACGAGTGTGCATATGATTGTGGTGTGGTGTGATCTGAGTGTTTGATATATTTCATGGTAGAAAAAAGAACGAATGAGAGAGTTGTATGCGTAAACAATTGAGAGCGAGCATGGTGACGAGAAACAGTCGTGATGGAAAAGATCCCAAAACTCGAAGCATGAAAGACGAGAAGACAAGAGTGAATAGATAGAGAATGAATCAATGAGAATTAAACATTGTACGTGTTTCATAATTTATATTAAATCTATCAATAATCAGTGTGTTTGTTAATCGATCCACTAAGAAATGGTAGCAGAGCGTGGTTACTAATAACGTTTTCAAAAAATATTCGTGAAAATGAAGAAAAAGGTACAAAGATAGTCGATGCGTGGAATATCGCGAGCGTTGAACCGCTTGATGATTCAAACTACTTTGTATGAAAGAAAAAATAGAAGGAATCCTACGATCGAAACGATTGTGGAAAAAGTGATTGGAGTAAAACCGTTGGAAAAACCAATTGTAGAAGAGGCAAATTATGAAGAAAAGCTAAAAAATTGGGATGAGTGGGATGATAACAATTACGCAACTAGGACCATTATGATTAATACAATGAATAAGGCACAATTACTAAGGTATAATAGCATAAATAGTGCCGATAAATTATGGTCAAAAATCATGCAAGATATGGTTGCCGAAACAGAAGAATTGAAACAAGATCACTTTATGAACTTTCTTCGAATATCAAGATGGCGAAAGACGAAACAATTGATGCTTTTATAAACAAGGCAGAAGCCTTAAAGAACCAATGTATGCAACTTGGAAGAGACGTTGAGGAATATGAATTAAAAATGTATATATTACGAGGGATTCGATCAGAATATGATCCTAACGTGAGAGTATTCGAATCACAGAGGAATATATCAGTGAGTGATATAAGATTCGCGTTAAAACAGGAGGAATTCAGAAAAATAAAGAGGAAGAAAGAAAAAACGAGCAAAAAATACGAAGCAGTGAGGAAAGTAAAAGAGGGAGCTAGAACTGATGGTAATTGCTACAACTATGGCATCAAAGGGCACTTGGCAGCTGATTGTAACGGAAGAAAAAAATGCTTAAACTGTCAGGGATTTAATCACATTGCGGGGAATTGTCGTGAATGGAATAGAAACGCTCCACCAATGAGAAGAGGACCAGGAGAAAATTTTCAGGGTAGATCACGCGGGCGAAATGCGAGACAACATTGTGGAAGGATTGAATCCACGTTGAACACGCGTGAAGAAGCGGTGCTGAGAGTAAGCGAAATTCCAAAAAGGGACAAATTATATGAGATACGTGAAATGGATGAAAATGATATGCATGTATGTGATGCATATGCAGTGATAATTACCGTGTATGGCTGTTAGATTCAGGGTCTACGAGTCACATGACTTACGATGAATTAATATGTGATAATTTTGTTCAAGAAAAAAGGCGAATTAGTATGGCAGACAAGAAAGGAAAGGTATTAACCTCGAAGGGAATTGGTAATGTCATTGTGAGACAAGCTTCTAGAAATAATAATGTAAAATTGAAGAATGTATTGTGTGTGCCAGAGCTAAATTCGAATTTACTTTCAGTTGCGAAGATAACTGATCATGGGTATAATGTAAATTTCAGTAAGTACGGAGCGATAGTGTATAGTAAGTCGAACGGAATTCATGACAGTGGTAGAGAGCAAGATGCATATTATGTAAGGACATTCATAAATCACGAGAAGACTGCGGCAATGTCAACGAATGATGATATATGGCACAAACGATTAGAACATGCAAATAAAGACATCATAGAAGAAATGAGAAAAAAAAATCTGGCTTTAGGTATGGAAAGTAGGTGGAAAAGGGTATGTGAATCATGCGTGGAAGGAAGCATCTAAGAAGTCACATCCGCGACATGATGCGAAGAGAACAATGCGTATTATGGAACTGTGGCATACGGACTTGATAGGTCCAATCAAACCCTCATCGTATGGTAAGAAAAAGTACATACTAAGTATAATCGATGTTTTTTCGAGAATGATGTTTATACAGCTACTAGAGGATAAAAGTAACGCAGCTGAAGAATTAAAAAGAATAATAATATTAAAAGATAATCAGACGGAGCAACGATTGAAGAGAATTAGGTTAGACAACGGTGGAGAATATCTCGGAAGAAACTTGAAAAATTGGTTTGATTCGAAAGAAATTAAACACGAGCTAAGTCTTCCAATGACTCCTGAATGTAATGGAATTGCTGAAGGAGCGAATAAAACGATCATTGAAACGAGCAGAACAATTTTGGCTGATTCTAAATTGAACTGAATTGAAATTTAAGTTTCGGGAAGAAGCAACGAATACAGCAATATACATTCGAAATCAGGTAAAATCGCGAGTACATGAAAAAACACCATACGAGATCTGGTACGAGAAACAACCTAACATAAAGCACATGAGACGATTTGGTTGCATTCCCTATTTACTAAAGAAAGGAGGGAATAAAAAGAAATTTAACGACATAAAAACAATAAAAGGTATCTTTATGGGATATAACGAAAATAATACTTATCGGATATACATACCAGAAACAAAACACATAAAGTGCGACTGCGATGTAAGATTTGATGAAAAAAAAAAAAAAAAAAAAGAATGGATCGGACTTGCTACGCTACGGAGAAGGTAATAATGATAAAAATGAATAACCAATTGCCATAAGTTTAGATGTCGAGGATGTCGATGAAGACGATAACGAAGTTACTGGAGAGGAAATTGGAGAAGAGAGAGAATTAAGAATTGAGTTGGACAACGACGAATGAATCAGTGAAGAAGAAGATAGCGACTATGAAGATGCGAGGATTGAATTTCTCAACAATGAAGATACTAGAGAAGAGGAAAACAATGAAAATCAAGAAGTAAATATAGAGCAAGAAGAACCGACAAGTAGAAGAGTAGGAAGACAAAAAATCTAACGAAGGAAGCGATAAATAAGGTAAATAAGTATCTAAGAAAACAAGAACAAGAAAACTTGAATGAAACGTGAGAAGATCTACGAGGATAAGAAACCAGAGGGCAATGAGAAGTGTCGATGAAAAAACCCCTACTACAATAACAGAAGCAAAACAGTCACCTGAATGGGACAAATGGAGAGAAGCAATGAAGAGTGAATTAGAATCGTTGCGAAGACATCAGGTATGGGATTTGGTGAATCGACCCAAAAATAAAAAGGTAATAAAATGCAAATGGATTTTTAACGTAAAAGAAAATTTTGAAACAATGGAACGAAAGTACAAAGCACGACTCGTTGCATTGGGTTGGGTAGCATTGTGTCCAATGACCGGATTTGATTACGAGGAGACATTCTCACCAACAATTAGGATGGAAACGATACGATTGATGTTCAAATATGTGCAGAAAATAAAAGGAAAATCAAAATTTTGTGAGAACTGCATTTTTACACGGTACATTGAATGAAGAATTGTACATGGAGATACCTGATGGTATCGAAAGAAAAAATGGACAAACGTTTGTAAACTCAAAAAGAGTATTTATGGGCTCAAGCAAGCAAGTAGGTGTTGGAATAAATATGTAACTAATATTTTTTTGCAGATTGGATTGAAACAATGTGTCCATGAGCCTTGTCCATTCTATATAAGAGAAGAGAACAATTTTTTATACTGCGAGATGCATGTAAACGATATGACGGTAGTTAGCAGTACAAATTTTTTTGAAGAAAAATGTATAAATAAATTAATAGAATACGTGAAATTGAAGAATCTTGGGGCAGGTAAGCAAGTATTAGGTATGGAGTTGAATTATAAAAAGAAGAAATTAATCGTTAGTCAGAAGAATTATATAAAACGATTGCTGAATGTGTATGGGATGAATGATTGCAATGTGGTAAGTTCACCAATTGATGCGATGAAATATTGATATTCGCTATAGCACACATTGAGGGTAGGGAAATACATACTGATATTTGAAAAGCATATAATATTTTTTCAAAGAATTGACGCGTCTATAAAATTACTAACCATAACGATCGTTTTGTGGCCAAAGATAAGACGTGAAGAATAAAAGTAACATAGCATTCAGCTAAGAACATTTTTAAATCAAGGAATATGCCAAAAGAAATGTGTAGGGATATTTGAGACTTATGGCGTTGTAAATGCAAAAAATTTAACAGAGATCCATTTGAAGATCTTACCATTTGTTTTTTCCGTTTTAACAATATTTTGCATTTTCGGTAAGTGATTGTCATTTTTGCCAAAAAAATATTTATTCGTATTGAGCACGTTAAATGCCGTATCATATATACTACAAGTTTGAGTAGGCGGACAATTATAGGTGCTGTACAGTATAATAACTTTTATTTATATCAAGTTTTACATATTGTATAACAATGTTCTCTGTAAACCGATTAGCTTAAACCAAACGGCGAATGTATCATCGAGTACTACTACTTCTTATGTAAAAATGAGTTATTTGCAAGTTAATTTTTCCCATATTTTATGCTTTTAATACGCATTAAATATATTAATTTTTAATTGTTTTATCGAACATACTAAAAATTCTTTACGTATTCCTTCTTACAAATTTTCTATTATATACTGTGTCATTGCTGCTTGTGATATATGTTCTGACCTTCAACATATGTATGTGCTAGCGCGAGAATATTAAAATTTCTTGCGCTTTGAATCATGATCTAATTTATATTTCCGTTGGAGATTCTTTTGAATATTTCCTCTTAACATTTACTAGATCAAGTCTCAGAAGCATCACGCAAGTAAAAACGGTCACTGATCCGCGAAGCTGTTATGTTTAGTGCCCTCTAGAAACGGTTGGTATCAATCACTTTGTCGATGCTTTAATTTCACCGTTTTTAGGTGGTGTACAATAGAGCAATTAAACAGCACGTCTTTCAAATCTGGTTGGCTAGATCGAACTAGTCGTTTCAAAAGAAAGCTCGCGAGCGGATGCGTCTCAGGATCGTTACAACATTCACGTCGTACAGAAACGTTACAAATTTCAACGAAGAAGAATCTCTATAGTTTTTCATCGAATCAGAATCTCGAAAGTTTTCATTACTTAAGGAACTTTTACATTTTATCAATCGCAAGGTAAAGCCGTCTCATTTACAAGTAAAATTCATCAGTTGGTTGTATAAGACAAGTTTATAGTCCATAGTGCTGTCAAGTTAAACACATCTTTGAATATTCAGAACCAACACTCGATCATACAAACAGTACAGCCTTTGCTAATTCCTAAATAAAAATATAATCTTTAGTCAATTGTTCCATTCTTCCAATTTCTGGATTATAGTGATTCCATTCTTCTAATTCCTGGATAAAGGTCCACACACAGAAATATACATATAGACATAAATATACATAATCTGAAACAGAAGTAAATACAGAAAAGTAAAAGATATTCCTAAGTACATTTTAAGTGTTTCATCTTCACATTTCATATCAACTTTATTATAATAATATATTCATTTTATTCAAATCTTTTCCTTTCATTTATTTTTTTCCATTTAATTCATTTTCCAAAAATGGATTCTTTATTTTATTTTCCAAAAATGGATTCTGCTTAAGTAGCTTAATTGTTACGATAAATAATACTTAGCATCTTTAATATGGAACAAAATAAAACTTTGATATCTTGAGATTAATTGGTAATTACCATAATTTAAAATTACTGCCATGTAATAGGTATACCTTTACTGTATACCAGTAAACAATAATGAATTAATCGTTCAGAAGCTACATTGGTTAATTCTGTAAATTGAAAGTTGAAGAAAGTTAATGTTGATATATGTATATGTGTATACTGAAGTCAACATAAAGCTTACTATTAAACTCTTTGGTACATATAGCGGGTTCTAGGCCAAGAAATATCTAGGATAAAAAATGTTTAGCGAAATCGTTTCCTAATAAAATGTAATCGATGTATATAACATATATGTATGTATACATTTTTGTACCTAAGAAAGAAATGTTTTAAATCCCAATCAAAAGCAAAAAAATGATATTATTTCATCTGTGATTGTCGACGTTAACGATCAATAGTATACAACGCATTTGATGTGTGCCAAAGGTTTATTAGCATTAGCATTATATGTTAAAGAAACTTGGAAGTGCGGTCGTTGTTTTGAGATTTTATAATTAATCATAAACTTATGGAATAAAATTACGGAAATAATAGAATTTCCTATTCGCAATATTATTTAAAATTGAAAACATAGCTCGATGTAAAAATTAGTTCACATTAAAGAAGGAAATCGGTTACTTTTTATTGTTCGTAACACTACATATTACTAATAAAACTAACGTTATATTTTATTGTTAGTAAGAGGTACTCGTTCGCTACGTTTCACACGTGATGCTTTCCATGTAAATGGAAATCATACAAAGTGATTTATGTTTGCGAAAATGAAAAAATTAATAATTTTGGAGGAATTTCATTCATCATAGGTATTTCATTCATCGTTGTTGTCTATTACATATGGACATATGTATTCGTTTTCTTGGTTCTGTAAGAGTAACATTATCATCACTCAAAGCATCTGTCTTGTTATTTTGTGCGACTTGCTTTAATTGACACATATCTCCGACTGTATTTTACTGAAAATTAACTCGTATCATTTTATTCAGCAATTACGAAAGAACATGGACAGAACCATACAACTATAAATAGAATTGGTAAAAAGAAAGTATGCAACTGTAGATCGTGTAAAAAATGTGCTGTGTAAAATGGGATCCAGATGTGGAACGATTGAGGTTATATACCGTGGTTCCCAAATTGTCTTTCGGAAATGCAGGATTTATAACATATTTCTGGCTATTGCGTGCAAAATAAAGAAAATGGCACATTTTCACTCTTTAACATTCTAAAAATCCTAACTTACCTTTACATTGTATTACAAATTTGACCGACGAACATGAAATGCATTTTTCTATGCATCCTGAATAGAAACTGACATTTGCTTTGACCAACGTTAAAGGAAGTATATGAAATATATACATATCGTTTGAGACAGCGGAATTATAAATATCTAATGAAATATGTTACGTAAGTAAATATGCTACGATGTTCATTACTATGCCTGGATTTGTAACGTACAAATGCAAGTGCTAGAACAAGTAATATACAAGATGGAAAGAAAAATTTGTCCATCAGATGAATTCTATATTTCCGTTTTGATGGAAAAACATGTAAAGAACCTGTCGCAAAATTGACCTTGATCTTGAATTTCAAGTGGTAGTGGTAGCGATAATGCAAGTCGGGTAATGCAACCAAATCGATGCATATTCATAGCATCCGTATAGAGAATTTACTAGTGAAGAAAGTGCTTTATGAGAATTGCTTTCGTATGATCACATCTTATTTCATTCTTCATTGTTCGGAATGAAAATAACAAGTGAAAATAATAAGTAAGTAGAATTTGTCTGTGGTAAAAATTTAATTCCGTATTCTACTACTTTTAAAGGGGGAAAAAAAAAGATCATATAGTCACGTAGATGCGAAAACTCTTATTTTCCGAAATGTAGACATTTCTCATTTATACGAAAAATTCAGAAAAATAACTGTCAGATGTGAAATTTCAAGCAGAGTTATGTTTTTTATATTACCTTTTTCTTTCCATAGTGGCAGCAGAATAGAATACCAAGTTGGTTACTAGAATTCTAATTTCAGAAAAATTAGTTATAATTCACGAAAATTTTGCTTTATCAATGGTGGAAAGTGAGTTACTTTTTAATTAATAAAAGACTGTCTTCAAATACTTGATGAACAATCAAAATCGGAGAGAAGCAATTTTAAAATAAGAAAATTTGTATTATTTATTTATTTGTTTGTATGTAAACAAATTCAAATAATTTGTTCACAAATAAACAGATTAATTTGTTACGCGGTATAAAAGTTGCCCCTGTAAAATATTCCGTTGTAAGGAATCTTTGGAAAAGTTTTCCCACCCGTGAAATAAAATGGAATTTCTTTATCTTCGTCAGGAACGTTTTTCCCAACTTCTAAGAAGTTCTAACTAAATAAGCCGTAATAGTATAATAAACTTATGAAGTCCTTGACGGACAATCTTCACTAACAATTAAAATTTTTGGTTTCTTTGTACAGAAGACGTCTCAAACAGAAACAATATCGACACTTAACACCCGTCAGAAATGATTACCGTACTTCATGAATTTTATTACGGTTACGATTGAAGGTCAAGAATCTCTCGGATCTCTACGAATGTCTCGGGATCTTGCGAAGATCATGTTGACGTATTTACCTGGGTAAATTTTTCGGTCTACAAATGACCGAAAAATGAGAGTTTATCGATACGAATTCATTGTTCAGAATTACCAATCAGCTTCAACCATTATAACAAGTAACCGATCGACGTAGCCCAAGCCAGTTCTTTTTCTACAATCTCGCCGACAATCAATCGTCGTAACACAGCATTCCTTTCAATCTCGCAATCCGTCAACTGTCGCCACTATCATCCAAATATATCACTCGATCACAATAGCATCGTCGAAATCCAGTTTAAATGCGAAATTCAACCTACTATCCTTACTCTCATATATATTCGTAAGGAACTGAACGGACTGAGTGGAAAGCAACATTGAATTCACGCAGATCACGTCGTAACATTATTAATTTGAAAGTAACGATGAGCAAATTAAAAATTTCGGAATATCATCTCGAAACGGAATTATATTTGCATGGAAACGGCATTTTCTAAAGAGAATATAAGGAAAAAATGAATTCTAATGACATTTGACACGTGTCTGCTTTTTCCTCTCCTCTATCTCGCTTGTAACATTGATCTTTACACGATTAATTCGTGCCGTTACGTCAAGGTGCTTAATTATGTTTAAAGTGTTTTGTCTCAGTTTGTGACGGAGACTACAATTGAATAAACTAAATCCTACGTGGATGCTATTAAAGCCGAATTTTATCTAGTTAAAGATCAAGACATAATCATGTTTGCAGTAAACGATATCACTGCTAAAGTATATGCTTGTGCCGTAAAAAAATAGTAAGATCTGAGACAAAAAAATACATTTCTAGAATTTAGAATAAAAATTGGTAACGATAATAATGGTGAAACAGATACAAGGCTCATGATTTTGCAAACTAAATGCATCATCCTTTCTCATCTCTCTCCAACAATTTCGAATAGAACAAAAAAAAATTGAGAATAACTATTATGTCAAATCCTCGAACGATAGAGGTTCATATTTTAAGCTTTAAATGTAAATACAGTTTAAAAGATAACATCGACTATCTGACTCATTTATTATTGTTACTGTTTATTATTGTTAAGCAGTTGAACCGCTTGAACAGCTTGAACCAAATTGAACTGCTCCCTAAGTAAGGAAGAGAGGTCACAGAACTTAGAAATGCTCACGTAACTTCGAAATAAATGACAGTAACGTATTAGCAGGCGATGCTGCTGCTATGACTAATTAAACATTAACGTTTTGCATACATCCTCAGGACACAGAATAAGTAAATAGAAAAATGATACCGAAACAGATGTAATATTAATCATAATTCATAGTAAAGATCTCCGCTTTCAGAGATTCCTAAGAGCAGTTCAATGTACTTCGAAGGAATTAAATTTTGTAGGCAATAATTTTACAAGGTAATTCCCGATAATTCGACAACGTATATTTTATTGTTAAATTGACGACTGGCTCGGACGTGCGATATCGGCGATGTTCTGCAGAAGGAATGCCACCTAGCTTCATGCTCTAGTTCGAGAACTCTTCTCGGTCCAACCCTCGTCCGGATACCCTAGCTCGGTTTATATGCATCGGTTATAAACATCAGACATCGGAATCGGCCCATGGTCCTTAACTTCGGGTGGCCTCTTCTACGAAATAGGCGAGGAAGTGTTCCCACGCCTGGTTAACGTTCGCTCACAATTTGAATAACTGTGATTGTTTAGCTGTTAGACTAAAAGATATAAGTTAGACTAAAAGAGAAACAAGGGAAAAGAAATAAAATGTCCCATGTCATCTAATGTTAGTCCGAGAAGTATATCCTAAATAAGAAAATTATATCCCGCTGATAAATTTTTCCTCCGTCGTGGAGGAGAGCCATATTAGCTTTTCAATCAATCGATTTCCTCATCATGAGTGACTGGTTTCCAGCATCTGCAACGGTCCATATCGCTAGTATAAACATTATCTTTAAAAGTATTTTGTCAATCAGTGATAGCACATTCACTCTTTGTTACTCTGAGCAGCAAAGGCAATAAACTTTCCATCAGTTTTGATCTATATTTCAATTTTATGCTGTCCATTATTTAAAAAAAATTTTCATATTTGTACGTCGATCCAAACATTCAACGTAATCTTAAATCCGAATCAATAGTTGGATACTCGTTGGATACTCGTTTGGACATAGTGATTTAAAATGCTCTGTTTCGTACTCATTCCAAGTAGTAACACTTCGTGAAAGATTTTATAAATTTATTACAATTTGTACTTGGATACTAATATACTTTTTAAATACTTTTTCGAATTTTGTCTAGTTTCATGATACAATTTTTGTCTTAAACGCTTCAATAAAATGCGAAATCAATCGAAAGACATTGACAGAGTAATTTATTTTTATAACTTTTTAAACTAAAATATATAGTATATTCTTGTTGCTTTAGAAGAAGACTGCCTTGTCTGATGACAAGATACCTCAATAATTAGAAAAATCGCTTGGCAGGTAAAATCTCTGCTGTTTATATTACAGTGCAGTGTACGGTCTGAACGACCGAATATTCCTTTTCCTTTTTCCTCATAAATGCAAATAGAAAATTAATTATTTCATTATGATAATACATATAAGAAACATTCACACAAAATACACATATGAAGAAATCTGAAAACATTTTTACGTAAAAGAATATTCATGCTGTTGTCTGTTAGACAGTTGAGTCGAGTCTACTTTTTCACTTGGCAGGCAATTCCTATAGCTACTGATTTATTTTCATCGAAGTTAAACGCTTTTTTTCAAAGATATAAGAACGCATTGTACACCTATTTCGTTTTTTAAACGATGAACAGATCAGAGACCACTAAATATCTTTGAAGAAGAATTTGTTGGATTCCGTGTAATGGACTCAACACGCTTACAATTTAGAAAAGTTTATTCCCTTACAGTCGTGGTCGTGTATGAAATAGAATGATATACAATGATTTAGAATGTCTTAGAATATGATGAATGTCTAATGCTTTTAACGACATAGAATTTCTCTATAATGATTTAGAATGTTTAATGTTGTTAGCGATATAGAATGTCTCTATGATGATTTAGAATGTTTTATGAGTAGGAATGTCTTTAAAGCATGTCCTTATATATATTTAGTTATCATCGTGAAGTGGATGGGGAAGGAGCATAGATGACCAACTATTGGATCTTGCCCTTATGACTAACTATTCACAGTCCACTTTTATGTGGAATGTTGCTAGCTTATTGTCAGTATTTGCATAGATTCAATACTGTCCGGGTTGGTCATCCAACAAATTTCTTTGTACTGAAATCGATCTCTCGTATTTTGGTCGGCAAGATGAGAGGGAAAAATAATAAAATCGATTAATTAACATTTGAATAATGTCATGCCATAGTACACTACATTTTCAAGATTTTTATCTTTTCGCTGTCTTAACGTTGATCTCCAAATGATTGTCACCTGAATTATAATTGATGTTACATCTAAAACGCATTTTCATGCTGACGTGTGCGAAACATTAATTTTTCATTAATGACTGTAATGGCGTAGTCTTCTGTTGTATCACTTTCACATATTTAGGAGTAATTTGGGAGTAAGTGTTGGTGCGCAGCAATATGATCCTTCTTGACTGCGATGATAAAGACTTTAAAACTAATAGCAAATGACTCAGATATTCTTTGTTGTCTTCCTAATACATAGCTTTCTAAAATATGAGACTGTTGAGAATTGCAGTTTTCAGAAATGATACTTTGGACCAAAGTCACACGTCACTTCCTTTAATTATATCTTCGTTATATTCGGAATTCTTGGAGAGGTATTGAAAGACGATATTTTAAGTTAGCAGACATGAATTTTCCATCTACTTAAACATTGTTAAATGTTATTGATTTGTATTTAGAATTCTAAAAGTATATCCCATTGCTTTAGGTATTACTATGTTTTATGCTGCAAATCGATAGTTTTTGACAGTCATATCATCTACTGCAAGCAAAATTATAACTTTGCTAGAGTAAAACTCGAATTTAATAACATTCGCGTAGAATTTAGTTAATTCTGATGAAGTAGAATAACTATTCGTATTAGCCTCTGTACACACAGATCTCATTTATTCGATAATCTTTCGTCGAATGAATAGCAGACGAGTGAATTGCTATACAATACCTATCTCCCAAGTTATATTTCGCATACGAAAAAGAAACACTATAAATATAACTGAACGCGAATATAAGGTCGTAACTGATTAATTAAATATGTGAAGATCATTGTTAATAGAAGATAGAGTAAAGAATAAACAGATACTTTTCGAAAGTTAATAGAATCCATTTTCTTCTTATTTTTTTGTTAAAAAAAGCAGTTGATCTTAAAAATAAATTCTGTTCCGAAGACATTTAGTATGCTCGTCGTCACATTCAAATCAATTTTTATTAATAAATTTTATTAATAAATAATTAATAATTTGAATTTGTTTGCACGTGTCGCTGAAGGAAAAATGAAATAGGAAATCCAGTAATAATACAAAAAATATAATAAATTAAATTAAGTTATATTTTTGTAAACGAATTTTGCACAGTCGCTTATTTAACTTGGCAAATATATAAAAATACCTATAAGATTTCATAAAATCTTATAATACATATTATTTTTTGCAAACTATTTCTGTGTCGTGCAAAGTTCAAAAAAATACTAATTGTAAGTACATTCCGAGAATATAATTTTATACTTCAGTTAACCGTTAATGAGTGTTCATCACTGCACATCCATTTTAAACTAAATAATTAACAAGATCAAATAAATGAAGTAAAATGTCTTATTGTTGGATCGTGGTTAATGATAGAATAATGAAAATACATTGTTTGAAACATACCGCGCCGAGTGTAACTGGTAAAATTTTAGACAATAATCTAAATTCAGTTGTTCATGTAATAGTATTCATATTTGTTCACGGAAAATAAAATTTAAACGTGAAAATTAACTTCAGAAAGTAAACATTATATAATACAACAGCAGATGTTTGATTTGTATGTAGTAGGTATCAACGACTTAACAAGATGACAACCTAATCAGTTGTGTGAACTATCCATGAACAGCACTAAATTCTAAATCGACAACGACAGTTGATAACGACAACTAAATGAGACGTATAATAAAAGAGAATGTTATGAATAAAATAACTTCACAAATTGTTGGAAAATTAATACCATTTTGTCAGAGAATGATTAATTTTTGAATCATGGTTTCTGTGAGATTTTCATTCCACCTGACGAATAGAATACAGAACTGCAGGAAAAAAATTTGTTCTTCAAATTCATGATCAAGATCATTTCTTTTAGCAAATCTCCACTGATTCAAAGATGTGGGATTACGCTATGATAGTCATGACACTTCTTTTTTTATTATACACTCTATACTTCGACATAGTAATGTGTATGTGTATGACATTGCAGTTTCACTTGCACACCCAATACAGATTCAAGGATAACAATAAATATATACAAGCATATATACAATTAAAACATACTTCATTGCATATTTATATTTTCCTGATTTTTGATCGTATTCACAATTTTTTGTTTTTCTTGTGATCGTAACTGCTCAAGGCGAATATTACGTTTCTTTCAGAACACATAAAAGAATTAAAGAATTTTAAGAATTAAGAAGAATTAAGAATTAAAAAATTTTAAAGTCAGTAATATAAATATATTATTTAGAATTGTAGTTTCTTAGTTATTTTAGTTTCTTACAATCTTAGTCCGTACCACTCAACGAAACATTATCATTCAGCCAGTAACATGTTATAAACTGCGCACTTCCGAAAGATAATTTGCAAGAAAAATATTGAAGTAAATTAAATTTTACAGCATGTAGCAGGTGGAAGGAATCTTTGCTTAATATCTGTTGTGTCCGTAAAAAACGTGAATCTACCTAAATGATAGTTAATATTTAACGTACGGATTTGTTTTCTTTCTATCTTTCTCCAATTCTGGACACTTTCGAGAGAATTAAAGCAAAAAAAAACATATAACATTTCAAAACACGTTCATTAAATAAGCATCATTTTTAATAAAATTTTTGAAGATTATTTCCAGTGTATCCAAAGAACGAAGAAAAATAATAGATATGCTTCGGAAATGTTATGGGCGGTAAGTGCAACGTGTTTCCTCTGAATTATAAAACCATGTTCTCTACGCTACTCCTTTGCACATTCATATTGACTGCACGTTCTCACTATCATTACCATAACCGGTATAATTAACACCGCTACTACTGACATTACCAAAGTGAAATCAGCATATTTATGTATGTAAACTACAAAATTGCAAATACGGACAGTTCTGATGAAATGAAACAGATCAAAAATTATTCGTCGCAGGATTTATTTAGGCAAGTTTCAAAATTAATTCATACCCCATAAAATGACATATATATTGTGATATATAGACCAATATTAACTATGTCAATGTGTCATTGTTACCATTTTCATCCTAGTTACTGCTACATCGAGTACATCGTTTTTTCGATAATTGGAAACAATTTGAATAGGTAATAGCTTCTTCTGGCCTACTTGAATTTATTTCATTCAATTCATATCTGACTTTAACATGCAAGTAATCAATTTGGAAACTAATGCGGCAGGTGTTAGACTGTTGCGAAAACAGAGTTTAGTGTCGCGTTTGATGGTGTTAAGGATGTCATGTATTCTGGAATGAAGAACAAAGATATAAGCCCGAAGATGGAGTGTGATTAAACTTATACCGTGGTTCTCAAAGTCTCTCGAAAGTAGTTAGAGTGCACATTTTTCCGGCTACTTCATGCGATACAGGTAGATAAACTGAAATTCTTGTAGTGGCCTAGAGTCCCTCGAGTACGAGTTTCGAACACCGACTTGTACAAGCCCCAAGTGGCTGTGCGTCTAGCGCTGAAGTTTAGCGATATTCGATGTTAAGCAAACAGAGTGCGGAACAACCCGCTAGGATGGGTGGCCCGTCCAGCCTAGCGAGTAGTTATAACAACAACAAACGTTTGAGGTAAAGGTCGCTGCCATCAGCCCCACTGATGAGTCTAAGCAGCGACTCAGAGACGAAACGCGCGCACCACCTTTCCTTACCTTCCTCACTTCCTGCATTACCTTCACTCATACTTTCGCATTCCTTCATCCTCGCATCAACTCACTTTCAAACCCTTCATTCTAAATAGCATTTTAGATCTAAAATTTTTAATTTTCCAAGTTTCCACAACGTTCGTATTTTAAATTTTATTAATGAAGACTTCTTGCGATTTCTTATGCATATGGAATAGGATGGAGCATTTGTTTTGACTGATTACAGTCACAAGAAAAATGAAAGATGTGCATGTGATTCAAAGTCATGGAAGTATAAATGGGCAATGACGTATGTCACATAAGTAAATATGCTGGTATTTATAGTACTGCAGTATTAACGTATTATAGATTTTTATACTATATTTCCATGCGTGCAAGTTCAAGTCAAGGACGTATGTGTGTATACTTCTATGTGCAAGTTCTGTATGTATGAAAAGAAAATACGTCACACCTCTTACATTCTGATACTACCATGAAACAAAAATGACTTAGATCACGAATATCGATGTCCAACTTTTTATCCTTGCATCATATTCTATACGATGTAGAACTTCAACAGACATCAGTCATTAGTGACGTCAAAGAATATTAATTACAAATAATTATATAACCTGGAATGAATAAAGCAGCAAAAACGAATGATTTCCATTACAGAACGTTCACGATGCTAGATGATGTGTAAAAGGATAATCACTTTCTGTTACATTAATTTGAAATACACACACGTATGTTCAAAGTTGGTTCACTTCAGAGTCACGATATTGTACAAAATTCAATCAAGTAAGAAATATTGGTAATGTACATTAAGTATGATATTGACTTTTAGATTTAATAATTTAATAAAATGAATTTGACATGAAAAATACGTCTTGACGTGATAAAAAAGATATTATTTCAAAATATAAACTAGACCTTCATTAAGAACTCGTCAAAGTCAAACAATTGTGAATTAAAATCTTTCGTATTTTTCATACTTACAGAATTAATAACGTGTAGACTTAAAGCAGCCATATTTTGTATATTTTTAATCCATTATTGTCCTGGTAAACGATAATTGATTGTTATTTAATTCGTTGTTTTTTAGTATAAGAATAATACCAGAGTACATACAGGATGTATCATTTTCGAAATGGAAATATTTCTTAAAATGGAAAAAAATTAGGATTTTAATACAAATTTTTTAATACAGAGGGCGTATTATGCGATGTTGGTGATACTTTTCTAAATAGTAAAGATTTGAATTTGATCTTTCTAATTATATTACATAATTTCGAATTCACTGATTCATCTGTGTATTCTCAATAAGAGAGTACCGATTTATCTGTCAAAAATATCAAATGTCATCGATTTTTGTAATATTTTCTTTATAATTTTCTGGAACTTATCAAGGATAGGGAAAATATATGCGTACTGCTATGTTAATGGTTCCTCTATCTTTTAGGTGATAAACTTACATATATATGTGCTTTATATAAGCAAATATACACATGAATGTTAGCGTAAGAATATTGAGCTCTGAATCATGGCCTAGTTTATATTTCTGTTGGACATTTTTTTGAATGTTTATCAGATCAGAGATCAGAAGCATCGCGTAGGTTAAGAGAGTCGCCTGTTTGTCATATTTATTGTCCTCTAGAAAACGGTTGGCATCGATCGTTTAATCGATGATTTATTTCACCAATTTTAGATGAGCTACAATAGAGTAATTTAGTTTTTAAGTTTTCAGTTTGAGAAGTCTTGGAGTTCGTCAAGGTGTGCTCGAATATACGTTGTTGCGTTTCTGTGACTCCATGTTGAGGCGAAAACGGCGGTGTCGTCTCTGTATACAACTAAGTGAGAATTTTAGGGTGTTGGGAATGTCGTTTCTGTATATAAATAATGAAGCGCAGCGGGGTGAGGAACCTCGCAGTACTCTAGCAGTGACGCTTTTGGCAGTTGAGGGAGTGCCGTTTACTGAAACGTACAAAATCCTATTTTACAGGTAACTGGCTATCAATCCGAGCAGCGGGCGTAGAGTAGTTATTCTTTGCACTTTAACAATGAGGGCATTGTGCCAAACTGAATTGAAGGCTTTTTCTAGGTCTAGGAGGATAAAATGAGTTAACCTGTTTTTGTTTATCTGTAAGGTGATATGTTCTAGCTGCTGAATGCATGAATGATTTATAACCAAACTGCTGCGAGATGATTATGTTACTGTTATTAACATGGGTTTATATGTGGATGAGGATAATTTTTTCAAATAATTTATTGATGGTACTTAGGAGGCTGACTCTATAGCAATTGACGGCTGCTGCGGATGTCCCTTGCTTAAGGACTGGAATTACCTTCGCGGTTTTCCACGCCGTGGGAAAATAGAAAAGTTTAAGGCAGACTTTAAAAATGTAATGTATTTTTATTTTTATAGAAATTTCAATAAATTTTCGAGAAGTTCAGATTAACTACAATTATATGATAATTATTGCTTCATTATAATTTATTGTTTTATTTAGTTTATGTACGTATTAAGTTTAAAATAGTTTAAACGTATTTAATTTTAAAGAAAATGTTGAAATGTTAAATTTCTCTTTAATCGAGTAATGTACTGGTATTCGCCGCACGTGTCTGGTATCCTGTAATAGTTGACACTTGCACCTATTCGTTCTTTCGATGCCAATTCAAGAAACACTACCACATTTAGGGGACTACAGTATTTCTATGTTGCAGGTTGCAGATTGTAGTGTATCTTTTGTAGGAACTTCTACTAGTACTCGTCTCTTGGTTTATTGCTGATGGTTCGTGTTCCGTCTTGTCTGTATATTTTGTAGTTAGGAATTTTGAAGATGTCTTTTATCAATAAATCAGGATTCGATGATGATTGCAATGTCTGTGCTGTGGTGTACTAGAAACTTGTAAAGTTCAACGTTATGACTTGATCAACATTTTATGCTGGTGGCGTTCTATAAAATAACATTAATGAGGTTTCTGTGGCTGTTCATTGTCTAGTTCTTTCACTATTAAAATAGTTGCTCGGACTCTTTCTGGGTTATTGGTGCATTTCGTGTAATGTTTTTGCACGAGCGCTATGACACTTAGGAACTGGTCCAAATCTGCTAATTCAATATTCTCTATTTGGTCGAAATGATTAGTGTTGATCGGGTGTTTAATTTGTTTTATTCTGTGATTTGTCTGAGTGAAGGGGTAGGTAGTGGGGATTTCGTTAAGAATAAGGTGCGGAAAGCGTGTTGGGCTTAGAGGTGTGTATGGGAAAAGTTACCGTGCTCTTTCTTTATTGGCGATCGTTTTGGTCAAAAAAGCTAGCAAAGCAGGGACAAGCTGACCGGGTGGGCGCCTTTATAGTTGAGAGAGTTTCTGGGGTTTTGCTGCAGTAACTGGTATATCATGCTGTTCTGTGCATTTGAAGCACATTGCTTTCTACAATTGTGTAACGCGTGATCGTGCGTTTGATAACGGAAAAACTGGTTGGTTTACGTGATTCATATTTTTCCCAACATATCTTGATGTTCTCAACGAATCTAATGTGATTGAGTTGGGCAAGTATGGTTTCGAACGCAAAAGTGACTCTGTATGTAGAATACTTAGTGCCGGAATTTCATCGAAATGTATGGGATTGAAATACTGGCTTTTGCATATTCAGAATTCTGGAACTCAAATCAGGATCGTTTGCGCACTGAAACTTTTTTCCAGGTTACCGTGTAAGTGTGAAATTCGATATTATCCTTAATACAGACGGCCTGAACTCAGCAAAGATTCTAAGGTTTGCAATATCATTTTGAGTTTGTCGGAAGTGAATTTGGCTTGGACGGTATTCTGATATTTGGATTCGAATGAATCAAAGAGTTTAAGATGATTTATTTTTCCATGAATTTACGTTGGAGAAAGTTTGGTATTTTAGAGTTTTTTTGGCAGAAGGATTTGGATTAATTTCGACGTTTACGTTTGTGTAAAAATATCTTAGTACTTTGGGGACTCTTGTACGTTAATAAGACATTCAGCAAAATGATATATCTGTTCATAATTTGTATGGCCTGATTTAAGATATCCATACCTCCTCTACTGTCGATTTTGCTGATGGCCGGAGAGGCAGATAGTGACGTTAATCGTTTTCTAGTGGTAATCGTTTTAACGAATCACTCAGTCACCGCGATCGATTGTGTGACGATATTGTAGAAAATGTTATGAAAAAAATTCAAAATAATTAGAAGTAGAACAAAAGCGAAAAATTGTACCAATCAAGTCGTTATATTGTGAAAACTGTATTGATTTGTATTTCTTCGTTTGCGGTATATAATACAATATGCGCGAATAATATTTACGCATACATATAAATAAAATAATTTTTGTATACTTTGTACTGCATTAATTTCTGCAT